TAGGGGGTGACACTAAAAGGAGAATCAGGCGCTGGTCACTGTACCAGGCACCCAAACCAGTCCTGTTTGTTTCTATAGCTGATAGTTTTATTGTATCATTTTCAAGACTTTTGAAATCCCCATCTTGAATGAAAGCAGAACAGCATTACGGGCCTGTTGAGTTGCCGGGACTTTCGAGAAACGGGCCCCTGGGCATGATGTCAGTATTTGGTGTAGAGAGGTGCAGTTTTTCAGCATTTCTTTTCCATAACTCACTCTTATCAGTTTATTGTGCTCCTGGCCAATGACTAAATTTCTCTGAGCATGCCTCTCCTTTACTCTTTAAAGTTCTTTCAAAATATTAAGACGATGCCCCAGAAAGAGCGAACGGATCACGCTCGCGTTTCGCAGCGGGACCTCGGCCCAGCCCCTCTCGAAACTTTGTGCCCATAGTCACTCAATGGTTTAAAAGGATGCTGTAGGCCCTGGGAAGACTTTTAAGTCTTCCTAGGGTTAGTCTTCCCAGTCTTCCATTCCCTACTTAAAAGTATTGGAATGTTCTTTCTGATGCCCATGTGGTACAGTTGGACCAATCTAAACCGTTTACGCACCGGCTGAACAAAGAAAATTTAACTCGGGGTTCTTTTGTTGACGGGTACCGTTCCTTTGGAAGAAAAGGAAAAGTCCATGTTAATGAAGGTCATTGACAGTTTATCGGTTATTTGCTATCGATCTAAGAAAAGAATCAGCGTTTCATCTACATCGAAGTTTTCGTTATTTTGCCGCGCAAGCCGCCAGGGAAGGCCTTGAAGCGTTAGGGGTGGAGTACGGAGTGGGTGAGGATGATTCGAGAGGGGGGGGGGGAGGGGTGTTAATGCAGTTAAAAATGTTCATGATACCGTTGAGATTCCAAATTCACGAGAGGTTTCAGACAAAAGGTTAGATTCAAGCGAATGACAATTAAGTCATTTTAAGGGAGGGGTGAATGAAGGTAGAATTTGTTGTTATTGAAGTCGGACAAATGCGGCGTGGCAAAAGAAAAACATTCCAGACAGGTCAATTGTAAACTTGACAACCCAAGGTTGTTTTTGTGCTTGTAATCTCGTTAGATAACTGTGGATAATTGAACAGCGCAACGCAGTTAGAAAGTAAGAAGATTTTCCTGTCTTAAATTTTCCCTGCTTCCCTGCTGACTGTATAGGTGTGACTTTCCTTTTATTAATGCGACCAGCTGGTCATGATGACGGAGAAAAACGGCGAAGAACTGGGAAAAATAAACGCTAAATTTACGTGAAAGCCGACCCTTAGTCTCCTGGAATCTGATGCACTCAACGAAGTCGTGATATGTGTTTTGTTGCGATAGGTGAAGAATTTCCAACGACGTTTTTTTTTTTTGCGCAGAAAACGGGAAGACTAAACGAAGAACCGTTAAAGGCGGGCGATTTCGAGTCCTTAAAATTATTTTTTTCACGTTTTGCTAAACTCTTAATGAACGCAAACGCAGTTGTTTACCATAAGCAATTTGCTGCTGGGAGAACTGATCCGTTGACATCCATTGGGATTAGGAAAGCGGCGAGTTACTTGCAGAGACCGTTGATTCCACACAGCACGAAGTCTGTGTAACCCGCGGTACTGTTGCTTTTTATATACCAAAGGTCACTAAGAGGTATGTTGTGTTTGCAAGTTCTTTCTCAGTGCAAAACCATTCATCATAGCTCATATATTGCAATCCCATCGCGATATTTCACATAACGTTTAGAGCTTAATGGGGAGAGGTCATCGAAATATAGTTTCCGTGGTTTTTATCAAATTGCTAACGACAAAGTTGTTTCAACTGAAATTTTCCAAAGCATTTTTCCCTCTGAGCGAGTATGGTGAATTAGTATTGTTTTGTGTATTAAAGAAATGTATTAACTGAAAGAAATTCACATCATTCGACGTACGACGGATGTGCAGTAATGTGGTTCATACAGAGAAGATTTGTTTGTTTCATCGAAGCTAGTTTTTACCAAATATCTGTTGTCACCTCGAGTTTTGCTCGTGATGTTGTTATTAAGTACTAATGTAGGCTTAGGCGGGTTGTAAGACAAAATTGTTTTTGTCTAAACCACTTCACACAGCGTGACCTGACATTCGTTGAAATGAATCGGTGAAATATCGAGTTGTTTCTCAGGGACAATATCAGCTTTTTTATTTGCCCTCTAAATTTAAGAAACATCATCAAGTTTATATGTTGTATTTGAACAGTAACAGTCCTTAACGTAATGTTGGCCCGCTATATTTTACATAATCAAAATATGTTTAGGTGCCACCGTGTTAAAAACGTTACCTTCGGAGCTGAGTAAGAAGACGGAAAGATGTTAAAATGTATTAAGAGTTGATACTCTTTTTGCCATTGCTTAGAATATTTTTATCAAGGAAGTCGAAGCAGTTCTGCAACGTTTGATATGTCTTCCGTTTTAAAAATTTCTTGTTATTGTGTCACTGACTGTTTAAATGCATAAAGGCGAATGCCTTCGGCCGTTTTGGCCACGAAACAGGCTTGATAATTACAGTGAATGTCGTTCTTCATGTTTTTTGTTCTATGTGTTCCGTTGCACATCGCCACATGTACTAATTCCAAGAGAAAAGAAGCAAGCATTTTCGAAAGATTTCGTGCTACAGTTAGCCTTTGCGTTCGTTTGATCAAGTTAATGCAAAGTACTTTGTATTCAGCGAAGGGCATTTATCTCTAAGAAATATGGTTTTCACGTTCAGTCAAATAAGAAGATCGAGCGATGGAATAAACTTAAAATTTGGCTAGAAATTTGTCTTCCTTTTTCGTGACGAAGCTAAGGAAGAACTTCATAAGGGAAGGAAGTAATTCGGGAAAAAGATATACAGGAACTTTAAAATAATTCGTGAGTTCTCGAGCATTAATTAGCGCAAACCTAGTTTTGCAGTTCAGAATCTACATCCTATAAAATATCGCCCCAAGTCCTCTAGAAATATCTCTGTGGGTCTTAAATTTAAAAAAAAAAGTTACGAAAAACTTCTCGTGCAAGCTGTTCTCCCGGGGGGCATTAGGCGGAAACATGGACTCTGCTAAGGTAATTCATGTCACTCACTCGAAAGCCTATTGTTTTTTAGGGAGAAAATACGACGTGAAACCACTTTTTTTAGTTTTTCATTCGAAAATGTCTCCAAATCTTAACGTCTTGAGATGTTTATTTGAATTTTTCTCGTCAATGTTGAGATCTGTATTCATGTTGCCTACTTTCAGCTATGGAAAAATTCAGGTTGTATATTCACCGATGAAGTCTTTGACTCAAAAGCTGCTATATATGTTTAATTCTTGTAAATGAGAAATATCTGACCCTAAAAAGCCTGAGTGCTTTTCTGAATTGACAGAGAGTGTGGGATGTGGAAATAATCTGCTAAGATTAGCATGCTGTAATGATATTTCGCCCGCGCAGTGTTTGATAGCTTTTGATGGCAAACACAGTTGATCATGCAAGCTTTTACCGATAAATATGCGACTTACGATGCTAGTTTGCCTTTACATTAACCGTAATAAAAAAACTTACTGCTTAGTAGTTGAGCATAAGTTGTTTTATTTAGAAAGTGTTGAACTTGCAACATTAATGCAGTATGAATCCTTGCGAGGACGGATCCTTGTAATGTGTTGAGATGGAAGCTGTACGAGAGATTCTTACAAAAGCCTGCGTTGATCTCTGTGTGGTGTGCAAACGGACGTTTTAATATCTAAATTTAACAGCACTTTGTTTAAAGCTTTTAGTTGAATATTCTACTTTGCCACACAAGTAATCTATGTGACTTAAGTCGAAGCTAGTCTGCGTAGGACTTGGCGAAGTTTTGCAGAGATTTTTGCGTAATAGAGCTTCCGATCAAAGCTCAAGTTTTGACCGAGTATCTTCATTTTATCTCCAATATCAAAGTCTGCAACATAAGCTATATTGTCATAAGCTTCACGTTGTTCCATATTTAAGAGGTTATGAGCCTGAGTTCCTAAAACAGTATATTTTTTAGATGCGAAACAAGATACAAACTACATAAAACTACTATGTATCTAATACCGCAGTACAAAATATATGAACTTCATATATTTCATTGTAGCTCAAGATACAAACTTTTAAACATCATTGAACCTCAAACTATTCGTCTATAAGACGGAACAAATAGAAATCAATTTTCTGACTTCAAAATAAATATGACTTAAAAAAATGGTACACAAATGAAATCTAGTGACAGAGTGTTAAAGACATTTCAGTATAGCTTTCAGTTTCAGTTTTCTTACAGGGAAAACTTTCTTCTTTCGTAGCAGTGTTTGGCACGATCTGATATCAAATACAGTCTTATTTTTGATTAAGGAAACTCGTTACGTTGGTATCATTCTATTTTTGTTCTGTTTGAATTTAAAGATAAAAAAAGGTATCAAAAGATCAAGGACGACCTTCTTGAACTTGGCAAAGCTCGGTAAAAAAAGAATGTAATTGTCTTAAACCAATTATGGAAAAAAAGATTCTCTCACGGTTCTTTAAATGATAGCCAAGAACGTAAATGCGAAAAATTTTCACGATAGTTGTGCAGCAACTTAGAAAATAATTAACAGATTGTGTGTTCATTCGACTTATTTCAACATTTACAGCATAATTACGCACCTGTACTTTCTGATTAATTTGATGAGACTCTCGAGAAAGTCGCGGGAAAACAGTTATGCTGCCAAAAGCAAAATATCTATGCTTTCAGAGGTGAATATAAGAGATTTAATGTTAATTTATTAGTAGGCGATTTGTCGGTTTGTTCTTTGGGGGTTAACACCTTTAAATATGTTTTCTCATCAGTTACAGTATTGTGCAACAGAAGTTATTCACACCAAGGGCTATTTTAACTAAGCAATCTGCTCTCAGATATTTAAGGAAACAATGGACAATAATGTAACCAACTTGAACAAAGAAACTGTGTTCTTGTGTTACAATTGTAACTAATATAAAAATTACTTAATTTCCTCACAATATCCTCTGAACAGAGTGGTAAAAAGGCTTTCTTTACGAGCAATCAAGAGTCACAAACGACGGCTATGTTCACGGACCATAAATTTTGGAAAATGCTTGTGCATCTTCCAAGCAAGGCAACACGAAGTTACTGCTTCATGATTGAATTTGTTTGAAGAGTCACACCCAATTTTGTCCAAACCTTATGGCTTGTTTGTTAAATGTTCTCAGTCAAAGTTGGGTGGATGATAGACATGAAAAAGCTGTAGGAGTATCACGCATCTCGAAAAATAGAACTCAAAATACAACAAAACATTATTGCCAGTTTCTTAATTTCATTTAAGCAGTCACATATTGAGGTTTATCTATAAAATTTAAAGTTAGACCCCTCTTTACAGAATAACAAGCAATACCATATGATAGTTCTGCACAGTAGGTTTTAATTCAATAAGATTTTTTTTTAAAAAACTACACAGAGTGAACCAATTTGTACAGCATCAAATCAGCCGTATTACTTAATAGTTCTTCATCAAAGAACAGAGCATTAACCCACCTCTGAATGGTCACACACAACTGTTTTACTCACAGAACTGAAAGGGAGAGCCAGTTCGTACAACATCAAAACACTTCCACGTAAAGTACTGCTCAAGAGCCTTTTTAAATTGATATAAATTAGCGTTATAGGTTTACTAATTTTTATGTCCTATTCCGTAATACTTAAACTTGTACAGTGATGAGAGCATAAACTTCTTATAAGTACAATTTTGAAGGATTGTGTTTCCTTCTAGATATCAACAGTTTACAGCTCATTTGTGCAGGAAAAACAAAACAAAACCTGTTGATGCGCAAAATGGTATCAAATATGTAAGGCTTCGCTGTATGCTTTGTAAAGGTGCTTTCATTCCTTTAGCTGTATAAACCCTGTAATCATTTGCAGTCTTAACTCTGTAATCTTTTGAACATCATTACTTCTGGACTGTTTCGAATGTTGGCAGAAAGTTGACCATTGTGAAGTCAGTGCTCTTCAGTGATCTCGCTGAGAGACCACCGATTCAAGAGTTAGCAAGCAGAAAAGCTTTGTAAATTGTTCTCAGACGATCAGGGCAGAGAAACTTTGGCAATCTTTCCTTAATACGATTAATTCTTCTGAAACAAGGGACATTCATAGCCTGTTCTCAATAATTTAAGAAACTTCGGTCCGTAATTCCCGTCAACTGACAAACTTTATGAATTTCCGCCGTTAAGAAGATGTTTCTCAAAATCCAAGCTTTTCGCCAGCGGATGAAAGGTAAGATTTTCAGGACAAACTTTGGTTTTATAACAAAGTTACTAACAATGGTTGGACGTTTTTTGTTACAAGATTTACTTTGTACCGTCCTCGAGAAATGATTTTCAACTTTTACCTTGGATAATCTTCAAGATATTTTCACATTTTGGCTCTTGAAACCCTGTCTTTGAATTATCAGAGCTTCCTTATTTATTGTTCCCTCGAAAGACAAAAGATTGATTTACTGAATACAGCTGCGAACACTTCAAATCAATAAATGTTGAAAATTGTTATCAGAAAGACAGATTTTTTTTTCCCAATTAAGCATCGTCTGATCCAATCAGTCCTAAAGGGAGTCTTTATCTTTTTAGAAACCTTCACATTTTTTGCAACAAAGGTTAAATGTTGCTTTATTCAGAATAGTGTTTTCGAATGCTATTTTTACATTTGTCGTGCGCCTACCATTTTGGATCGATGTGATGTCTGACTTTTGTTTTATCCACTTTGTTACTTTCCTTATAGTTAACCTTCTAAAGCATCGTACCTCTTTTTTTTCTTAAATGTAACAGCTCAGTGTATTTCGTCGATGATTTCTCCATTTCGTTACAGTTTGTTAGATTTCGTTAGATCCTCTACCAGGGAGATCTCAAATCTGCACGAGTCTTCAATTACAGTTCTTTTAGAAAATCAAGTCAACGGATGGTAGTTGGACTCAATGAATGTGGGAAAATGTTTTACAGCAAGCGGGACTCGATGCTTTTTCGCGTTTATTTGTCGGTTATTTTCCTATTTATTTGCTTTGGGGTTGAATGTCTTTATCGTCGTAACTGCGATCGCAGCTCAACTTTTTACATTCAGAGAAGACGCACCCTCTTGCAAGAGGTGGGAAAAATGAAGTTTTCGTCCGGAGGATCTGTAAAAAATGTCTATAGATTGACAGAAACTGTACGATCTGTATTTGGAAGTTACAAAGAACTCCGTCAGAACAGAAGATACCCAAATGTAGTGAATGTGTAAAATGAATTTTAATTAATAATGATGTCGCAGACACAAGAGTTGCAATTGTGCTTGTATGACTCCTTTGGTAGCTTTTATGTGGACTCTGAAATTACTTGAAACTCCCTTGAATGCAACAAAAGAGTTACTTCACAATGTTCTTGTTGCATGGGGTGTACAAGATGGATTATTCAAACTGCCTTATTTTTCTCTTGGCAGCTAGAGAAACCAGTCTTAAGAATAAAGCTATTTACCTGTTAAACACATGAATTTTCCTAGTATGTGAATTTTATTGATCAAAACCCATTTTACTTTCTGGAAGTGCATACAGCTGTCTATTTAGCCACCTATTTATTGAAAACTGTTCTTAGTCATTGTAAAATGCCAGCTGTATACAATTTTCTTATGCTTAGCAACCTGTATCCTTGATGCATTTTAAAATGCAGCTTAATGCTCACAGTGTGAGCGAGATGGAAGAAATAACAGTTTGGGTTGTACCGTTGACAATACTCAGTATGTTTCCATTTCAATTATTATGTATGGTGGTGCATCAGCGGAAAATCTCGCTCGACGAGGAAGCGGTTAAATGTCCTCTGCTGGAAAAAAGGGAGAAAATGGATGTTACGACATTTGTTTTACTCTTCAGGAGAAACCTTTTTCGAACTGCCAGTTAGAAAGACAAGAAATCTTATTTACAACCCCATGCAGACTGTACACTTATTGCTGCACAGAAAAGCAATCGTGTAGCTGGACATTTCAGAAAGAAATTGACCACAAAGAAATCGTTTAATTGCAATAAAATGTAACTAAACCTTTACACTGTCCAACTTCAGTGATGTTTCTGTTTCGAATGGGAAAGTGAACGCTCCCTAGTCTTATGACTTAGCAACTGATTAGGAAAGTACGTGTCCTAGATTTTTCTACATAAGTCTGTCTTCTCGATGCAGTTTAGAAGTATTAATACCGGTCTCCTCTACGAATATTCCTCGGCCTAAATCTCTGTACAAACTGAATAAACTCAGCGTTATTTTAACAAGGAAGTTGAACTCACTATAAACGGCAACACAGTAACTAATGGTGCAACACTTGTCTGTCTTACTTTTTCTAACTTGCGTGGGCCGAGGTAACCTCTCGAGGAATTCCCTTGGTCTTATTTAACTTGTCATGAGTCACAGATGCAAGCAATTGGGAAACCAATGAAAACAAAAACGCGAAGGTTCTAGAACCCTTTCGAAATGCATCACTCTACAAGGGTAGGGTAAGGTAGACGTGGGATAAACTCGCCAAGAATTTCACGAAAATTTCGCAATTAAGCATTCTTCCTCCTTAATTTGACAGTTCAGCTCTCAGAATCTTCTTCGTCATTTCTAAATATCGCTAGTACTGCCGTAATTCAGTTTTGACTGAGGAGGTTATGTAAGATCGTGTAGGAAAAATCCCAGAATTGAATCTCTCCTCTAAGATTAAGACATTAACCTCAAATATCGGTGTCACCTTGCAGGTTCTAGATTTTGTAGCATGGCAAAGATTTTTTTCAGCTAATCGGCATACTTTAATAGTTTTCATCGGCAAGTAAACGTTTCATTAGCAACCGTGTTTTGTTGGGCTCATTGCGCTCGCTTTGCGAAAATTTCTTTCCCCTTTTGAAGATTACGGCGTACAACAAGCCGTGTTGGCTTATGTCCAACATTGTTTCCTTGATATGGGAACGTCTTTTCATAAACGTTCATCTGAAGGTTAAGAACGGGTGGAATTTTGCACCGGTTGCGAAAATGTCACGAAGAGTTAACTCTGCGACAGTTTTAAAGCGGCAGCAAGTTTTTCGTCAGCTTCTCATGAAAATCGCAGAGAGCTTCAGTGTACGAGAAACATTCATATTTCAAGTTAGTGTGAAATTGTAACAAGCATGAGTGTTTGTGTATTTATGCCGGAAAAGCACTTGCGAATTCTGCAGCCTATAACTGTCAACGCTTATTTCTGTAAAGTATGTTTACTTGTTCATTGTTCCTTTAATACGGTTGCCTGTGGATTCAACCTTAAGTCGGTGTTTGACTTTCTCTCGTGACATCATCCTCACTGCCGATGTTCTGGATTTAGTCAGAAAATTGTAAAAAATAGGCTTTAGCGATGAATGTTAAATGAACTGCGGATATCTTTTCGCATCTAAACATGTTACATCTTCAAAATTCTTATTTCGATTATGTTGTCAAACTTAAAAGTTCTGTAATCCGCGCGCAATGTATTATTGTAAAAGTGTTTTAAAGACAGATCCTCTTTGCTAAATTAGAGGCCGAATCAGTTAATTTTTTTTTGGTCTTCCCTTTCGTGTCTTTGGGTAATAAATAGCTTATAAAGTAATTTAGGAACTTTCTTGTGCGTTTCTGTCACCTGTTATCAATAGATAAATCGTTAAACTGTTGTTGTTTTTTCCGAGTGACTATTACTTTCATAAGGGGGATCGTGTTCAAAATTCCTCAAGCTGTGACCTGAACACTGTTGTTATGATAAAATACGAGGTCGACCCTAAGACCAACTGGTTCTGAAGGCGCGAGACATTTTGAGGTTTGGAGATAATGAAATCTAAAGGAAGTTCTTGGAATGCTACTCTTTCCGATCTCTCATTGCGGCCGGCATAATCGGGAAGGCCTCACGGAAACTCCACGTAAACTCTCGTAACATAGCCATGCGCTTAGGATTAAGATTATTTTCGCGGGAAGGTCGGCCCACTCTCGATCAATTTTGCATCCCGCGGGAAAAGTTAGTGCAGAACAACATGCCAGTACCTCAAGCCTATAGCAACCCAACAAATTTTTTTTTTATTTGATTTCATTTCCGGTAGCTTTGCTCGCCTGTCAATCATTCGGCGTTTTCAAAGGCGAGAGGGTGGTCTTGGCTCTTGTGCGAAGCAAACTGCGCGGGTCTAGTTGACAATGGATCACGCGAGAGCCAATCACAGCGACGCTACTAAGTTGTATTAGTCAATTAGCGCACAGCCACACGATAGTAAATTTGCCAATGATTTGTGTTGGAGACAACAACAGAGTAAACTTAGAATAGCGCCTCAAATGCGAATTATTGCGAGTGGGGAAAGGAAGAGGAACTTAAAACTCCCACGCTTCTCGTTGATCGACGTATTCGGTAAAAATTCCAAGGCGATTACAACATCTCAAGGCGCGGTCCTAAAAATTCGAAGCGCACGGGCAAAGGTTTCATTCAAGCGTCGCGCGCACAGCACTGAAATTATTTTTCAAGTGCGCGCACCATGAGTGAGCCTAGCACGGGAACAGATGAAGCCAACGCTAAGGACTCTTCGACGGAAGAAACACAGGAAACGGTGAACGAACCTGTTCAGGATGAAAAGCCGTTGTCTGCAACGGAAGTGCCCAGGAAAGGCAAACGAGGAAGGCCGCGAAAGAACTTTGCCGAGGTAGAGTGTGTGGTAAACAAATGTAACATGTTACGGAGCTGCCTCGTACAGATCATGGTGGCGAATTTTGGAACATGCAGTAGGGTCATATCAGAGAATATGAGGTCATTTGGCGAGGACTAAATTTAGCGCAGCTTGAATATCAATGGTAAATGTTTGTTACTTTCTCACCGCAGAAACATGAGGAAGATGGAACACCCGTGATAAAAAGGCCTAGAGGGCGACCAAAAGGCTCAAAAAATAAAAATCCCAAGGTAGGAGATTTCATTGGTGGTAAATTTGTCTTACCTTCTGCACGCCGATATTGTACGTTAACTTCCATTCTTTCAGTAGCGTGCTTTATATTAACTTATTGTATTGCTATAGAATCTCTGTTATGCATGTTTTATGATTAATATTTTGGCTCAGATTGTAGTCGCTCGAACGAAAGATTAATCCCGCTGTCCCGTGATGTTGCGTGCAGAAATTTTTTTGTGTACGGGCCGATTCCCGATTTCCCGGTGCTTCGCTAAAAAAAAATACACTTTTGAGAGCTGTTTTTCGTCGTTTCTGGTGCCAGGCCAAAGAAATGTAACTTTGCACTTGAGTTTTTCCGTTGAACACGCTATTGTTATGTGCTTAATAATGCAGAAAGACACAAGTGCCAGTCGCTTTGTACTCTCAATGTTTACAACTGTGGTGCATAATAACTTGGTTATGCGTGCTAAGCATCACTAAGCAGAGATATCGAGGCACTCCCCCAGACACGAAAGTCCCGCGGCCGCCAATAACTCGCTAAATGCACTCGCACTCGCTTTGCGCATAATGTTACGGAGAATTTACTTTTCTTTTTACTCAACTTCCGGTAATTAAAACCCGTGTGTAAAACTTTTCGCGACCGTTTGTTCCTCGAACCATGAAATTCTCCGCATAGTTTCGCGCAGTACACCCATAAATCACGTGAGGTTTATAACAACGCATGCGTGCGTGTTTCGCGTACAGCACGTGTTTTTGGCTGTTGTTTTCGCGGGAAAAAAATTAGCGCGCCATGTTGGAACATCGCGTCTTTCAATGACATCGTAATAAAGAACTTCCACGTGCGCGGATTATTTCGAATGTTTTGTCAAGGATCTTTTGTTTCACATCTGCACAATGTGCGAAGTGTCTTAGATCGGAAAGCACAGACACTATGAAAAGTTCACAATTGTGATATTGAGGGATAAGTCCGGTGCCCGATAAGAAACGATAAAATTATCTAGGAAAATGGAGTAGAAATCAATGGATGTAAGGCTGAAATCAAAAGCCGTTGCCACGCGTTTAAAAAAAATCGATATCCTACGCGGATGTAAATGTGGGTTAGACTTCCTATTTAAAAAGCGGTAGTCAATTGGAGATTCATTTAGCGATGAGAAGGTGTATAAAATGTGACCCTGGTGGATTATTTTTCCACGTGGGATTCATGACGCGCAGTACAAACATTGTACAATGGTCGCTCATTGAAATCGCTGATTACCTTGTGACCTTCGGAAGAAAAAGCTTTCAATGAATTTAAAGGGAAGTTATGCCCCTGCGCTAATTTTTGTTAGTTCATGCTTTTGAAAAACACCTTGTTCAAAATACTTTCTACTTTTAAAGCAGAACACTGTTGACGCACTCTTAAGGAGCACGTGCATTCGACGCGGTATCTCCGATCGAATTTAATTGTCGGTTTTAAAGCGTTGGTGTTCTCCATTTCTTTTAGAATTTTACGAAAATTACACGGACTGTCTTTGAGTTGGAAGGTTTTTAGAAGAATGGCAACGTTTCGACATACTATTTTCAAATACATACCGGAAACCGCAAGAAAGGACCTTTCGCTTTCGTCTTTTGTTTAGCTGGAAAGAACGTTAAGATAACAAAGTAGAGCAAAGAAACACTTTTATTATCTCTGTTTTATTCTAGCCTAATGTTATTTTGCTGAACAATTACAGTGAGGTACCTGAGGAAAAAAAACAGCATAACTTTCGCTCGTGTGTTGATGCGATTGCACGGATCACACGCTTTAAAATTTAGATTTTCTAATTCACAGTTTCACTGTGTCCGTCCGGCCACCCACTTGATATGCTAATCGAGACAGATTTGAAAACAATTTAGCGATATCGCTTAATCATTTTTAATCCCACAGCCGGGTATACATTGCAGGTGACACATTGCCTTAAAAGAAACTTTGCTCAGGCTTCCTTTGCATTTTATCAACAATGTCAACTTTTCAAGTTCTGCTCTGCAGCTGCTAAGAGATGGAGGTTGCTTCGAAGCATCTTCCTGTTTCGGTTTTGTTCCGATTTCTCTCCTATGACGGTCAATGTGAAACGGTTAATCACGCCTTATTTGAAATTCATCAGAAAAAAATAAACGTTAAGCATTTAAACATGCTATGTAACACTTTGAGACCGACGGATATAATACCCAATCCTCGAAAATTTCCGTTTTTCTAAACCTAATGAATCGATGGTGGATAATTTACAATGTAACTTTCTCTTTATAAAACGATATACAATTGGCTCTATTCCTGTAAGTTTTTTTTTGTGTCACCTTTTTTTCCATATAAAGACTTGGGAAGTCAAAAATAAAAATAGAAATGAAAAAAAAAAAGATTAAAAGCACATGAATATTTTAATCACTTCACCTAAAAAAAATTTCACTGCTTTTGAGAAACTGTAATATTGCACAATCTCTTTCACTGAATCTTGGTTTTATTTGTTTTTGTTGGTTGGTGATATTAATTAATAAACTAGCACATGGCCATGAGATTTAATGAAGGCTGTTTTGACCGTTGTTATAGATGTATAAGGTCAGTGGAAGGCTATTTTGGGACAACAGTCAACAACAAAAAAAACTGTTAGTCATGCAAAGCAGAAAAAAAAAACTAATTGAAAGAAGTAGGACGTCTGGATCCTTCTCAAACTTTCGGAGATGGATGCCTAACGAGTGCTGGACAAGTCTTTGTCTATTTTCTGACCTTTTTTGTCATAAGTAATTGTGGGCAATGTGTTTGTATGCGAAATGTTTTTTTATTTTTTGTTTTCACTGTGGCAAAGCATAGATGTCTACAATGGAGGGAAAGATTTAGTTTGGTCAAAGGAATTTTTTAGATTCATTTTCATTAGGTTGCTTAAATTAGGCATTTTTTTCAAAATCATACACATTGTAATATTGGTGGATTGTCTATGATCAGAAATACATAAAGTAAAATTGTAAGCTCTTTTAATCATAAATCATAGGGAAATAATTCTAAATTAAGGTCTGAGGAATGTAGATTACGAATGATCCAAAAATTTTGACTGTAAAAGAAAGAAAAGGAGAAAAAATATACAAAGAAATGGACAGGAACAAAAACGAGATTAACTTCCCTCATAATTCTCTAAAGAAGTCTAGAGTATTCCTTTACTCATGGTTTTTTCAAAACATAAAGGGGGAAAGTTCACAAAGAAACTGTGGGGCCGTGTTGGTGGGGGTGTATAACAAGGTAATTTCGGTTTTATCAACTAAGTTGAAAATGTTAATTGACCACCGCAAACAGTTTCAGAGCTGAAGTTTTGAACAGTAGTCCTGTGTCATTCTCTCTGATGAAGGGCTAATGTTTGAAGGTTAGCTTCAAAACTCTTTATGGTATCCAATTCACATTATCAACTCAGTTGATAAAACCAAAATTTAAACCTTATTTAAAAATATCTCTTATTCCCTTACGGTACAACATGCAGGCTATTATGACATGTTCATTAAGACAACGTGGGATATTTGTAATAAGTGGTATGGATTAGCAGTCTTTGTAGCTCCTCTAGCTTATTTTGCAACAGCAACAACATGTTGGATTGGTCTGCAAGCTGAATACCTCCAACAGCTGCTTCTTCCATATTTAAATACCCTATGAATGAAATATAAACAACACATGCATGGAGCCTTGTAATCAGGTTATTGACTGAGCTGGAAGTCTTCAAATCTGTTAAAACACTTTGTATTCTAAGGGTTGCTTACAATTAAGCAAACAACTTGCAACAAAAAAGACTATTATCAAAGATGAACAAAAGTGCTCTATATTCATACATTTGGATATTTTCCAAAAACTACAAAGCTTGGTGATGAACATGTCCATTGTTTGAATTTGGGAAGATTTCTTTAACTTTAACTTTTCCCAATCATCAGCCCTGAATAAGCAGAATGTGAAGATTTGAGTATAATATCATTAAAAAGGTGTGTTTGTGAAATTCATCATCAATTTTTTCTCCATTAAAAATGTTCAAAGGAATTCCCCTAATGAAAATATTTACTTCTATCATTGGTTGTAGTATTTTTAACCCTTTCATCAAGGATGAGGACATTTACATCAATATTGATTACCCAATCTTTTTCATTGTTAAAAAGAAAGTTAAATGAAAAAGAGAATAAAAACAAAAAAGTTTATAAACTGAGGAATACTGGATTTAAAATTCCCTTGATCCTAAGGAATACTGGATCTCCCTCAGGTTAAAATGGACTGCCATAGGATGTAGCCATGCATTTTACTGTTTGTGGTATGAGATATAATATGAATCCCAAGGAAATTAGGACATCAAAGAGACATTTAGGGTTTTCCCCTATACACATGTGCTGTGCTCGATTCCAGTTTACGCTAGAGGTCCGGGTTTAGATTTAGGCAGGTCATTGTGCTGTGTTCTTGCAAGGAAGACACTTACCTCTCAAAACCTATCATAGAAAGCTGAAAAATTGTGGGGGGGGGGGGGTTAACTTATCTAGGAAGAGTACCAATACTCCCGGTTCCTTTATGCCACGTGCAGAAGCCGGGATAAGCTCCAGCAGGGTGTACCACTCAGCTCAAGTGCAGATTTTATCATTGCCTCTTGACACCACAACTC